ATTATGACCACTAGTTGCTATTTCTATAGAAATAATTTTATATGTAATATTTTCGAAAGACAATGAACGACCATTTATTACTTCTATATGCATAGGTTTGATTTTTTCAACTAAGACTATATCTTCTTTTTTGACAAAGTCTTTATCTATAAAATAGATTAATGCTTCTAAATCCAACAAGGTTAAGACTTTGTAATTTTTTGATTCTAAATAAACTTCTATTATAAAACAAGGTGAGGGATCTGAAGATAGAATAGGACCTTTACTAGGAATCATGTAAGATTTTAATTGCACAGTCCTTATTGTTGCTTTAAAAACTTATTTTTCAATACATTGTCATATTTGGCAACTATACTCTTCATTTTATAATTGTGTTGTTTCTTTGGACAATGTTGAGTACTATCCTTGAACTCTCCATAATATAGGTACAAACATTTTTAATGATGACAAGTCTTTTCTTCCTCAGTAAGAAATTTAAAATATTATTGTATGGTAACATGACTATATAATGAAAAATAAAAATATGGATATTATTATAGAAGAACCTAAAAAAAATATAATAAAAAAATAAGAATAAAAAATTAGTTAGTTAATAAAAGATTTAATTTTAATATTGTATTTATATAAAATGAACTTTTATTTACTTTATAGAGGCATAAATGAGCCAAATTAAAATAAATAAGATAAAAAGAGTAAATTTTAGTAAATTTTACCATAAGAAGCCAAGAATTGATATCCAAAGAGGACTAGTTGTCAACTTAGATCAAAATCAGACTGTAAGGTACAAAACTACATACCTATGATGACTCTAGAGGTTTTTAGTAGATCAAAGAGTGGCGTTTGAGAGAAAACTTGATAAAAAAATTTTGATCGTTAGTTTTATTTTAATTAAATTAATATTAATTTTTTGAAAGATTTTTAAAGTTAATAAATTTTTTTGTTGGTTTAGATTTTAAAAAATGAAAATATGTTTATAGATTTGAGGATTTTTAAAGTTTTGTAGTATATATGCAAATGGATTTTGAGCAGTTTGTTGGTGTATTAGTTGTGAATATGTGTGCAAATTTTAAAATCAATTGTATAATTAGATTGAAGTATGTAAAGGTTTTTATGGGTTGAGGTTTCAAAAATTGGAGTTTAAAGGTCAGTGAGTGTTTCTAAGATCTTCAATAATTCTTCAATTGGATTGAAGTGATTTTTTTTTATTTTTTATTTTTTATGAATACTAGACTTGATTTTCAATATTTAGGTAAAATTTGAAAGCAATTTAATAGTTCAAAAAAGAGATGTTGATGCTAAAAATTTAGCATTCAGATTGGAGTAAGAAGCTTTCCAATGCCCATTGGATTATCTTGCATTTCTTTTAATTGATAAGCTTAATTGATTTCATCTTTCTTATACTTTTGTCTAACTAAGATATTAAAAAGTATAAATTTTGAGTTAATATCAATAATTTGGTCATTAGTTGTTGAAGTTACAATTTGCAATAGGATTTGGTCTAGGATTTGTCTACAATTTGCATAGGGCTTAAGATTTTGTCTAAAATTTGGTTAGGATTAGGATTTTCTTAGAATTTGGTTTAAAACTTGATTAGAAATTGATAAAGATTTGTCTAGGATTTGTCTAGGATTCAGAATTTTATTAGGGTTTCATTAGGATTTGACCTAGGATTTGGTTTAGGGTCAATTAGGATTTCAATTAGGATTACATTAGAATTTTTATTTTTAGTATTCCTTTAGGATTCTTAATTTTTTCTTTAAAGATTTTTATTTCTAATATTTCTTTAAGATTATTATTTTATTTTTTTGAGATTAGTGTAGAACTTCTTTGTGTTTCTTTTATAACTTCTTTTAAATTTATTTTGGATTGATTAAAATTTAATCAGGTTTATCAAAGTCTAATTAAGATTATTTAAGATTCTATAATACTTTAATAGGATTTTATATAATAATATTTCCATACATATTAATTCTATCATTGACTATTTGGATAAAAAAATAAAAAATAAAAAACAAAAATATAAGAATCTTATATTTTATTTGTATTTAACTCATTTTATTTGTTTTTTAAATTAATGTATAGTACAAACGATGTCTATGCATTGAAAGAAAAGTGTCTATTTCTAAATTTCTTTAAAATAAATTACAAATAGTAATTATTTTATTTTTCAGGTTACATTTTGTATTTATATTTATATTTTTGTTTATATAAAAATATTTTTAAAACGAATATTTTATCTAATTCTAAATCATTTTAATACAATTATATATATATATATATATATAATTATAGAAATAAAAAAATAATAATTTATTTGAATAATAATTATAAAAAATAATTTTATTTATAATTTTATTTATATTTGTAATAATATCCATCATACTTCAATAATGATATTTGAAAATATTCTGTTTCAAGAATGTTTTAACAAAATTTTAGTAGTAAGTGTTTGAATTAAAATGCATTATTATGTATCATCAAGGGAGAAGTTATAAACTATTTTTCTCACTGCTTAAGAAATACATGTAAAATATATTGGTCTTCATAGCTTGTATACTTTATTTGTTTTTTTAGTTTTCTGATTGTCTGGTATTGGTTCTAGCTTAAGTTTTATAATTTTTACCATAAAAAATAATTAACTTTTTTGAGTAAAATATAATTTTCAAAGAAAAAAATTGAACAAAAAGAATAGAATATATATGATGTTTTAAATTAAATTTTTACGTTTAAATTTACAAATAAGCAAAACTAATTTAAGCCTGAAAAACAATATTTCAGTAAAAAAAATTTATTTAATTTAAAAATTAAATTTATTAACACAGAATCATTTTTTACATTTTTATAACCACAATATATTTACAAAAAAATAACTAGAAGAGCAACTTATTACAATATTAGTTATTTGTTCCATGTAATTATCATTTATTCAATGAAAAAAATCATATATTTAATATATTATAAAAAAAATTAGTTTAAATGATTTATAAGAGTGCCTTTTTTTCTTATAATATTATTATTTTTGGATAGATTATTAAAATTAGCATCTTTAATTGCAATGAGACTTAAAGATACACACAATGAACAATAATTTTATTGATGATAGGTAATTTTAAAAAATACAAATAATTCAATCATCTTAAAGAATTTTAGAACTCTGAATAAAGTAATTATTGTCATCTACATATATTATTTTTGTATGATTGCATATGCATATGTATTTTTTATTTTTTTTAAACTTCTAAAGATAAAATTTGACATTTTAAAATTGAAGAAGAAGATTTCAAAATCAACTAACTATTATCTTTCTATTTAATATTTTTTTTGCATACTTTTTCTTTATAAATTATAAAATTACAAATGTTAAGAAAACTTAAGCACTTAAAGTTTTTAAATATTATGATTTTAAAAAATTATAGAAAAATATGAGAATATTTTAGAATTTAATTTTTATTGAAGATTCTTATTGCATTATTCTAATTAAAAAAATAAAGAATGAAAATTTTCATGTATTTTTGATACAAAAGTATTTAAGAATAATAAAAACAAAACGAGCTTTTATTTTTTTAGTTATCTCATTATAAGTTAAAATATATTTATAAAAAATAAATGTCTCTTAAAAAATAAAATAGTGTACAATAACATATATATATTATTTATTTTTTAATTAAAAAAATAAAAAAGAAATAAAATAATTTTTTAAAATTATTGCCATAAAAAAATTAACTATTCTACTATTCTACATTAAAATTAACGATTATATATTAGAATCTTCAAATTAACTATTCTATATTAGAATCTTTCATATAAATTAAATTCTAAAATATTCACATATTTTTCTATATGAATAATATTTTATATCAACCATGCATATTTATTTCTATTTAATTAATTAATCAACAAATCAATACAAACACATGTATATATTTATATCTTATATGTTAAAGATAATAGTGGCTTTGTATAATCTACATGGTTGGAATATAAGGCTATTAAACTCGAAGTTTACAATGCAAGTTGTAATAACATTTAGTCTTGCTTAAGAGCTCTTTATCTATACCATTGTGATCCAATTACTATTAGTTTATATTTTTCTTTATCATTTTTTCTTATAAAAATAGCAAGGAAAGATAAGTAACATTGAGGCATATATTAAAATACATAATAGATAAGAAAAAAAAGATATTCTATTGATTCCATTTATTTAAAACAAGAAAAACAAACAAACAAATAAATCTTAAAAGAATTATATTAAAGATATTTCCAAAAAGTTTTTTCTTCTAAAAGAAAAGCATCTAATAAGCTAACAATAATATCAAATATTGTCTCTTTTCTATTTATATAAAAAATTGTTATAAAGTTTTTTGGAAAAAAAATAAAAAATCTATCATAACAACATTAGAACTTTATTTTTAAATGCATAAAAAAACATTCTCTCAATAAAAACCAAAATATTTTAAAATGTAAGATGCATTTGTGCATGTAGATGCATTGAATATATAGATATAAATAATATTGCTATTGCCACTACAACTTCCCATCCATCACATGCCATCATAATTTTTTCCAAAGCCACCACAAGTTGCCCTAAACTTGCTTAAATACACCATAGTATACTTCACATAACACTAAAATACACATGTATAAGGAAAGTGCGCTTTATCTATTATGGAGTGTAATGCAAGTTTCCAACAACTTGCAATGGTATTAGCAAAAATTCTAATAACATGTGATGAATGACAAGTTATAAAATCTCCACAAGAAGATTGTTTGGAAACTATTAGAAACTTATAAAAAGATGCTTAGGATTAGAAAAAAAATTAAAAGATTAAAACAAATAAAATAAACTCAAGATTGAAATACAATTGTATACACACACACTTGTGAACATTTGAAAATATCCAATCTACGGTAATAATGAGAGACCCACATCCACTGGTGCAAGCTCTCCTAATCCCGCACCGCGTCTTCCGGCGGGAGGATTCTGCCACTTTTAAATTGCGCGCGCGCTCAGTCCTGTGCTTCGGCACTCCTGTCTCGGCGCCATGAAATTCATTATAATCGAATGCAGCGCTAAATCCGTAATTCGGTGGGATGCCGCGACACTAGAGTACGTTGAGAGTTGTTGATGTAATTAGGGCATGAGGCTCGTGGATCGAATTAGTGTTGCTTCGCAATGAAATCGATCATATCGAGATTTCATGGTGGATACTGTGATCGGTCCCGGAAGGCGGATCCCTTTGCGTGATTCGATGACTGCTTTGGCATAGGGTCCGAGCATGTGCGGCTACTATATACGTTGCTTGGCGTCGATTTAACTTGGTGATGGGGCGAGTGATTGGAAATGCTTTGCGGAGACACGAGGGATCGGCTGGCGGGAGAGTGCAGATCTAACCGATAACGAACGATTTGTTGCTGTCGTGGAAATAGGCTTTTGAAGGTGTGTGAGCCTGATCGCGAAAATACTTCTGGCTTTGTTTTACAGAACCTGCTCTGATTTCCTGCACTTCGTTTTGTAAACGTGACCAGGATGTTGAAAGTCTGTTAAGATGTAGAGTTCTGCGTTCATTGGCTGCATCCGAATTTGCCATGCGGCATTTTCTTTCACAGGTGATTGGGAGTGTAAAGTTATTCAGATTCCAGCTGAAATAATCTTCTGAACTTTGTTAATTTACAGAAGAAGGCGATAGAGAAAGAATTTTATGAACGTGAACACTGCATTTTCTCCACTGACACATGGCACGTGGGTGAACGACCTGATCTCTTGTATTTTGTACCAGGTTATAATTTTCTCTTGGGATGAATGCCATTAACGGTCATCCTTCGAAGCATAAGTAACGCTCGCGGTTAAAGATTTTGGCTTCACAGGCGAACTTTCTAAATCTACATTCATCGATTTTGCCTTAGTATCCTAATGAACATTGTGAGGATTAGCATGTGTGATAACATCAGTTTTCAACAAGTTAATCTTCGCACATTGTGTATGTATTATTGATACTTAAGTGATGCCTTTCGCTGCGCATTATTAATTCCAATGCTGCAAACACCGATTTGCAGGCAAATTTCTGCTGCATCATCCTACTGTTTCTCCACTTAAGAGAATCTGAAAGGAGAAATTATCGTGTGCCATGTCGACCCCAGCTGCTTCCCGTATGTGTAGGTGTGTTCCGACACCATTGCAGGTAGTCAGATATTGGTTGAGTTTCACTGTAATATTTATTTCACTTAACAAACTGGATAGATCTCTTATGGGTAGTTTGTGTGATAGATCTCTTCTTCGTGATATGGATTGCACTTTTTAGTCCCCGGGAGCGATGGTGCAAAACCTGATGCTCATGGCACTAGCATCAAGAGCTTTACGGAAATGAGCAAGCAAGACTATACTGGTTTGGACAATGTGATATATGTTCCCCTAACTTGGTGATATATTCACAAGGCTCGATGTCATCGTTGACTATACAGGATTGGCATCAAAGACTTTGCAAATATATTTCTGCTATGATATTTATATACAGAACTACTAAAGGAAACGGTGAAAATTTTGATGCAGTTGGAAGCTACAACAAATCCATGATTTGGTAAACTCCTGTGAAAAAATTGTCCTGCTGAGCATGTACTTGGTGACGACGCCTCGAGGCCTTCTGAGGTACTGCTGCACGGGCAGTATCAATTTTTTAAATTGCAAGTTTCAAAAATATGTTTTTGTTCTTCTGGATACTTTCTGTGCGTGGATTATGAGTGAAGCTATCCCCAGGTTTGCTGATGCTAAGGTAAACTAGGAGCTTGATCGTGCCATCGAATAAGTTGGAATAGCTACCCCGACCTTTCCCAAAATTGTGAATAAATGGTTGAACTGATGCTCCTATTTTCAAAACATAATTGTAATGTTCTACCTCATCGAATACCTCATCGAATCATTGGAATACCTCATCGAATCAATGTTCATTTGTAGTTACCAATTTTTCGACTTCTGTCCACTCCGCCAAATTAGAGTGTTTATTTGCGGTCTTGGATCACGTTCTCTTTGTAGTGTATGAGCCTCCGAGTCGGTGACTGCTTACATCGAAGACGGGAAGTGAAAGGGGCGAGGCGGTAATTTTGTTCCTGCAACAACAAATCAAAGTCACGTTTGAAAACAAGTTGATGATCCGGGTCAAAAGGATGGGCCTGGCTGTACGTTTAGACCATTAACTGTCTATTACAGTAAGCACGTAAGTAGGTATCCTTCTGAAAAGCGGCTGTTATGTCTCTGAAGCTTCAGCGACCGGTCTTGGCTCATGGCTGGAAAACTCGCAGATTTTAACCAAAATCTCTATTTTTTCCGAGTAAGCATGCCTACACCGACTCGGTTTGAGGGCCAACGGCTTCTGCAATATCGTACTTCGTGGTTTGTATTTGTAGGTTTGATTGTGGATGTAGACTCCCTGGTGCTTTAGGGTTCAATAATGTGGCAGCTAGAGTCCAGTTTACTCTCGTCAAGCCAGCAGTCACAAGGGACCCTTATTGCTCGTGCCGATGGAACACTACTCGCAATCATCTCGTTCAGACGTGGGACTTTCGCACCAAATATCCCCGAATAAAGCTTCTCTCTGCTTCCTGAAGTCCACACATATGTTCTTTATTCGTGACTGAATTTTTCATATAATACTTTATTTCATTATAAAAGTAGAAATAATAATGCGAGACATAGACACGGATTAGATCTGCGCGCTTGCATCGTTATTCCCACAGTACTGGTCATCGTGAATGCTGTGAGTGAAGCAGCAATAATTACTGGGTAGCAAAATGTAACCTCAGGGATTTGCAATTGATTAATCAACTAATCTTAATGCTAACTGTACGAACTCGACAGGTTTGGCAATTTGACGTGCAGTCAGATGATGGAATATTTCATGACACAGACAGCGTTTCTTGAGGTGGCAGAGCAACTAGTCAGCAGCAGGAACAGGTCTCTCAGGAAAATTAAAACTGGGCAATGCTGGTGTCATAACTTGTCTCAACATCTCAAGGCTCTCAAACTGGGCATCAGAAGCAAGTGTAATTGTCCAGGTTAGAAGCCTGTCCATTGATCCGTGCAAGTTTCTGGTTGAGTGTCACATTGTCTCACAAAAGCTCTCAGTGTGATAATCTGTGTACCAGTTGACCACAACTTGCCAACACTCCCTCATTAAAGATGCAGACCCTCTGACAGATTAAGAGTCTAAGACAGAAACCCAATTTTTTCCTCTGCCAAAAATGCAAGGTAAAAGGGTATTTAAACCCCAATTGCTTTCACAGAACAACAACAACAATCCAAAGTGCTGCTGCCAGTGTTGTACCATTTGCACTTTGCCAAATACTTATTGACAATGGCAACGTGCAACTTATTAAACCCTAAACATTGTGGCTTATTGGGACACAACACAATCTTCTTATTACAATCACAAATAATAAGAACTTGAGCGTGAGACTTGGAGTGTGGCTGCCCCTACCAGGGTTTTAACATTGTTCCACGGTCATGCACTATACCATTTGTGTGATAAGGCTCCTAAAACCCTTGCTACAGTCAAAGTTTTAGGTCTGGCTTCCCTCGTGTAAACATGGCAAGTTCTAAAAGATTTGCAATCATAATAATTTTTGCAAATCCATAAATACTAGAGGTTCCGAGATGGAGGACTGGACCTAGGGAGTTGATCCTGGGTAATAAGTCTAGATCACATTCAAAAATAAATAAATAAATTAAATAAAAAATAAAAGCTAAAAGCCAAAAAATGAAAACAAAACGAAACAAAACAATGAAAAGTGGGGTGACACCATTTTGCCAAAAAACACCAAATTTTCACCTCATTTATCAAAAAGTTACAACTGCAAGTCCTAGATTCAACAGTTGAATCCATCCAAGTCTGGTGCTTCATATCCAAACAAACAAGCAAACAAACAAACAAAAAAAAATCTTTCTTAGGTGCGGAAGTCTGTATGATTAATAACAATAACAATATTTTATTTGACTTTTCTCTATTTTTGTACAAGCGAGAGAGAAAGAAGCGCTTTGAATTTTTGTCACCTTCACCATCATGCTTCTCATTGAAGTCCAATCATGCAAGTCCAACCAAGCTTCATATATGGTATTGATGGGGGTGTGTGATTGCAATGCAAGAGCCAACATTGTAGACGAGGGAGGGGTCCGTGGGGGCCGGATTGGCTGATTTTGTGTAGGGCCCTTCCTTTGGCCCCCTTTAGAGGAACTGGGGGGAGGCTTTTTTGTGGGGCTTGAGGAAGGAAGGGAATGAATGATTGAGGTGGTTGTGTTTGCTAGTTTGGTACAAAGGTGTTGATGCCACAACCTTTCCAAATGACCCACTATTTCTTCCTCTACTACTCACGCTCTCCAAGGGGCTTCAATTCACTCTCAAATGCATACACAAAGAGTACATGTACAGATGCTCATACTCATACATTAATAATCAATCCACCCAGGAGGTGAATAGTGAGGCTTGTAGTGCAATAGAGAGAATAATGTCAGAGTCCATCATGTATGAGTGTTCCAAGGCAGCAAAGCTTTGTTATTTTTATATGGTGGGGTTATAATAGACTTCACATGAAACTGTTCAATGCATGTGTATCTGCCCTGGTCCTTTTCATATTTACTATATGGAATGCTGAGAAGTAAAAAAGAAAAAAAGGAAAAGAAAAGTAGAGACATAGTAATACTATATATATATATATATATATATATGTGTGTGTGTGTGTGTGTGTTTTTCTGTCTATTTTATTTAGTTATTTATTACTACCATGTGAAGATCAAGGTGGGATATGTTTGGTTGCCTAAAGGCTGATTTCATTTTAAACATATATGTAGTTCTTTTTGTTTTGTTTTGTTTTGTTTTGTTTTTTTTTTAAAGAGTTTACCAAGTCTGTGAGATTTGTTCATTCAAACTTAGATGACAACTTGCCAACTGGTATCACTAATAGACTACTGTGTTGGTGTGGCCCTTTAATACAGTGCATGTTTATTTATTTCATTTTATTTTATTTTTGTTTAGTTTTTGTTGGGCTTTGGCCTTAAAATATGGCTGTGTTGTTGTCATTGTTTGTTGGTGCATTCCTTGTCCAAATGAAGATGCAGTTTGCATGGAATGTAGAAACCTTAAAAGGGTACCAGGAGTGGCCATGGACAGCAGAATTTTACCTTTGTGAACATTTCATTCCAATCAATCAATTAATCAAATTAAATTAAAACTAAAAATTGTATGTATGTATATAATAATATCTATTCAACCTGTAGGTTCATATCATCCTAAGAAAGATTCATAACTTCTTAAAGTGTTTCAACTTAGAGGTCTTTATACTTAACTTAGGAGAGAAGGTGAGAGAATACAATTGTTAAATCTTTTGATTGATTGAAATCTAGAGGCCCTCAATTTTAATTAATCACAAAATTTTAGCCTCTTACCTTATTCCCTCTGTATAAAGTTCCTCTTAGACATTTGTTAATATTCATGATTTTAGAGGGAAAAAAAAAAAGAAGAAGAAAAGATTTTGACTTTTTAAAATAATTTGTTTAAGAAGCCTCAAATTGGATTTTTTCTTTTTTCAATTAGCCCAAAAAGATTTATACATAGTAGTACATGTTATCAAATGAAAAAAATAGTAAATGAGATGATAATTTTCCTTGCATTGATTTAATTTCTTAGAAGGATTTTATTATGTGAATAATTGTAATAATATTATTACAATACCAATTGTAACATCAAATGCACTCATTTTTAAATGATGAAGAGACATTTTGAAATAATGTAATTATATTTTAGAATTATTGGAAATTAAAATTTTATTAAAAGACCAATCTACAATATATTAGAGCTGTCAAAATTAGTTACCAGATTTTCAAAAAAAATGAAATTATCTTCAAATGATTTTGAAAAATGGTGACATCTTATTAAAAAAAATTATTTAAAATTACATATTCAACATGTGTGTGTATGTATTAACAAATTGTATTACTAGAACAAATGAGGAGTTTGTTTTTGCACAATAATATTGTTCAAATCATATTTAGTGCCATTATTTATGGTTCAGTCAGTATTGATCATATTAAAAATCAACTTTTCAGAATCACTAGTATTATATAAGGCTTTATTAATAGGAATACATGTATCAGTTTTTTTTTGATTTTTTCTTATAGAATTATTACGAATATATATATATATATATATATATGTATTGGAATTCCTCTTAATATTTTAAAAATATCAAAAGATAACAGGTCAATCTAATCAATTATACTAAGATTTTCTATGAATTATTATTATTATTATTATTGATTATATTTATTATATTTCTCATTAAATAATTTGTGCAGTTTCATGTCATATTTTACATTTTATTTATTTTATTTGATATTACGAACAATAGAAATGAGAAAGATAGGATTCACTTGTTTTAGAATAAACATACTGATCTTTAACAAATTAAAATTTAGAAATAAACATGTACTAACAAACCTTCACGAGAAAATGGGAAATAATTTGTTCTGACTCCAAATCCTCTGCCCCTCTAAAATATTAATATGTGGTTATTAAAAATCTCAGAGCATGTTTGAGATATTTAAATCAATTTCGTTGTAGAATTTTAGTATTTGAAGCCTTACCCATTTGGATTGGAAAACAATTTCTTGTGCTTTTAGTAATGTCCAAAAATATGATTTTATTCACAATCCAAAATATATTTAGTTTTATAACCTATACTATTATAACTTACCCTGAATCCAGAAAAGGTTATATCTATATATTTCTATTTTTAAAAACATCTCGGCACTATTTAACATGCGTAATTTTTCAAACAAACATTCACCAGATTTGAGTTTTTACTGATGTTTCTTTACTTTAAAATATTTTTATTTTAAACTATATCAGCATTAAGTCATTTGTAACTTTATCAAGTTACAAAAAAATTGAACTTATAAGGAGTCAAGAATGCAACACTGTATTTACATCATTAATTATATTCGAGTTTATATTTAAATTCTTTCTCAGAAGGACTTTTTCAAAAAATAAAAAAAATAAATTTCATGTCAATATGTTAGATATTTTTGAAGCCATCATGTAGGTCCATAATTATATATATATATATATATATATGTTATGAGAAATTCCAGTATATATTAAAATGATGCAAGGTTCCTTTTAGATGTTGTGAATGATCCATGCAGATTGATTCTTTACCCAACAAGGTCGAGATCCTTGGTGTGGCACTTGTATTTTATAATTTGACCATGCAAGATGAGCTCTAACCATATTGAAGCATATTAAACCATCAATTGGTAGGAAGAAGAGATTATATATATATATATATATATATCTGTGTAAGAATATTAAATTGTCCCATTCTAATACAATACGAATAGTTATTGATCATTTTTATCATTTGACATTGTCAAAAACTTCACTTCTTGCAATACCTCTCTTGTTTATCCTTCTTCACAATTCACCTCCAATACCTCTCTAACTACTCATCAACTTCCCCTCCAATGTAAAATAGTCTTCTTGTTGTGTGCTTCTACCTCATTGATTCACTTCTTCCAATTAGATTCTATATTCTTTTTCCAAGGTGCTCCATTACAACTATTTCCAAGAGTTCTACTTTCAACTTGTTTCATCCGATTACAAAATTAGCACATCACTAACTGCAAAATTGAGAGATTGATGAGGGAGTGCAAAGCCCTAGGAAATGCAAAAGATGAGCAAAGTGGAAATAGTTGTGTGGATTTAAATCTTAAGTGGGTCATACATATATATATATATATATATATATATATAATACTATTACTTAGAAAGAAGCCTCATCAATAACTTACATGATTTTTATCATAAATATTACTGGTTGATACACATGTTTTTGCATATAGGACTATCCAACTATAAATTTATCATTTTATGTGAAAAATCAAATTTCAAAGTAGAAGACATCTGATATTGTAATGTGTGTTAAATTTGATAGTTGCTGCATCTATTATATTTGCATCAATTTTAGTTGTGCAAAACTTCTATTTTACTTTATTCATCATTATTTTGGAAGCATTTTTAAAATGAGTTTTGCAAAAATATTGCATTTAAGCTCCTACGAATTAATTGTTCTTTCATTTACATGATTTTCCTTTTTATGCTAATTTTGATTTTCATGCCTTGTCTCATTTTTCTTCCCAGCATAAAACAATAAATAGAACATCTTAACTCAAATGTATCAATGGGTGAAACATGCTGTACTTGGGTATGAGAATGTCTAGTAGTTTACAACAAAAAAAACTAACACACACCAAAAAAAAAAAAAAAAAAAAAAAAAAAAATTACAGACAAATTTATACTTATAATTTTACTTTCATTAAAATGATAAGAAACTGTAAGTTTGACGTTTTGTATGTTCAATATTTGAATTTTTCCATCAGATCCACATGCCATTATTTAGGGAAAAAGCATAAAATATAAGTAAAAATGTAACATAAAAATGAGAAAAAATAAAAAGAATCATCAATCTATGGGTTTGATTATTATTATTATTATTATTATTAAAGTTGTTGATGGAAAGGACTTCCAATATAATTTTACAACAGAAATTTAGGATAATTCCACATGGCATTTTAAACCTTGTTTTTTCCATTTTATTTATCTTTTTATTTATTTTATATTTCATTAAAATTGCCTCCCTACATTATTCACCAAGCTCAAGTATTGGGGCATGAAGAGAGGCCATTCAAAATAAGGCTCGCACATCTATTAGATGAAGACCTTGAAGAAAAAATAACCAACCAAGATGGGTGGCTCATTGAAGGAAGACATACCTAATTGCCCATCATGAAATAAATAAAAGCATGAAGGAAACAAATTTAGTATACCTCTTTGTGAGGCCGGCACCAAGCTCCTCCTTCCTCCCCCTTCCATGATTCCACAAGGGAGTTGGAGCATACTCTTATCCTTTTCCCTTTTAAACCTCTTGCGCATGGGTACATTCAACACACAATGACTTCCATTTTTACCCATTTATTTCTTGTCTATTTAAATAATTAAACCACGAGAATGTAGAAGTTGTAAAAAACATTAATTACTCATAATAAGATCCAATGAGATTTGAGATGATGTTGTGGCTAACCACTGGACTTATTACCATAACAATCTAAATCAACATTAAAAAATAAAATCATTGACCAAAATGGTTTTCACACTTGTTACATTTCGGATTTCTCTTTCTATTTTTTATTTTTTCTATTTTCCCCTTTTCTTTTAACTTTACAGTATTATTATTATTATTATTATTGTTATTTTTTTGCATCAATAACTCCAAATGGGGGGGGGAGCTTATAGGTGTCAGGAGCCGATGGGGCTAGGGTTCTGACAATGGCAGCCTTGTTGCATGAATCATGTGTGTCACTCGGGGACATTGTTGTCCTCACCAAGAGCTCTAAGGACTCCAAACCCTGAATTAAAATAAACTTGTGGGGACTCTACATCAACAAGTCTCAGTGACTCTAATAGATCTCCAAACCAACATCCCTCTTTTTCACTTTTGCACGCAAATATTAACAGCAAAAACAGCAACAACAACAATAATCATGGTAATAGTACTTGTGGATGTGGGACCATTTTGGGTCCTTGACCATGATGCTGAGAAAACCCTAATGTGGGTTCTGCTCAGGTTCCTTTGCATGCTGCAGAGCTGTGGAACAAAGAGATGGAACTCTGGGTTCCCTTTGCATGGAAGCCCATTTCAATTTATCTGTTCCCCTCAATGATTTGTCTCCTTTAACCTCTTTCCAATTCATGTGATAGCTGCTCCTACTCACTCCTCAGGCCTCTCCTTCATTCATGTGCTTGAGTCTGAATACTTGTAGGAAGCCTAGTCTAGAAACTGCTTTGAAAATCAACTTCACTTCTGCTAGAACCACATCAAAGTCATTCTCTCTATATATTTGAAAGACTAAGTAAAACAAATTGAGTCACCCATTTGGACAACACATTAAAGGTAAGAATGAAACTGTAACAGACTATAATGAAAAAGAGAAACTGGGTTATTGCATGAAAGACTTTCTCTGCAAGGCAAACAGGGGAGGGTCACAGAGAAAAAGACAAACTGTGGGGTGCAACACAAACTCATTCAAAATTAGGGTTGCTGTCCCATGAGTGCATGCCCCTCGAACGCACAGAGCAATCGGGGCCGTCGTATGCCAGTACACACACTGTTATTACATTCTGAAGCAATGTGGCGTACACCAAAAAAAAGAAGAAGAGCTATATGGGTTTTTGCAATATGATTGTAGCATACGAATCGAAGCACCGCCCAAAAGCAGCAAAGCAGTGCACTCAACCATAAGAAAAACATCGACTTTACTCTCACGCATTACTAACAGAAATCAGTTATTCTACAAGAATATTGCTGTTACAGTATTACACCGAACCCTCACTCTTTTGACTCACAAACTCCAACCACCTCCCATTACTGAGAAAACACAAACAAAGCCAAACGAAAAAGAAAAAAAAAAGACAAAAAAAAAAAAAAAAAAAAAAAACAATAATTTAAGAAGCTTGCATGGTGGTGTAGAGCGCGTATAGTGCACCGTAAACATCGCTGTATGTTAGTGAGGACTGGAAGAATCCCATTACTACGAGAGCCACTGTAAATAACACAGGAATCAAGTTCCACTGGGTCTATGATTTTCACTCTTGTATTTTATTTTATTTTATTATCATTTTGTTGTATTCTGGTTTTTTGCAGTTGCGGTAGAGAAAGTTGCAGATCGGTGGGTAAATGGGGAGAAAATGAGGGGTGAGGGTCGTTTTCCAATTGAAGCGTCCAAGGGGCATGAGCTTTGAGCAATGTTGGAAACAACGACAAGCGGCTGATAAAGTGGGGGGGGGGGAGGGGGGATGACAATGCAACAAGCAGCCGTGATGTAAGGGTGGGGCGGTGTACCACCAAAGCTTCATCAGCCCCGCAGCCATGATGCAAGCTCAGTTGAGTGAGTGTGTGAATGGATCCGGCCAGACACCATCCCACTGAGTGCCACTTTGATAATTTAACCCCCCCCCCTCCCCCCTTTTTGTAGTTTATTTAAATTTTATTTTTACCCACATGAAAATCCTGCAGTCATATCAGCACCGTGGTTATCTTCACAAAATTATTATTATTCTTATTATTCTTATTATTGTTGTTATCGCCTATGCGTAGGGCTATTCTTCTGCAGAGATCAGTGACCCATGATGTACCGGTCACTTAACTCATGATGCACCGGAGTCAAATTCCCCTTCCGTGTTCGAGAATTCTTGTTGAAATAATGCGGTTTCAAGGGAGAGGTACAAGGTGAAAATCTGATTGCGTTCCTATCGATTCATGACGGTGGGGCAATGAAGCGATGGCAGCAGAAAGAGAAAGAGAAAGAGATGAGGGGGTGGGGTGGGGGGGTTGAAGGTCCTGGAGAAATTCAGAGCATTGGTTTTGGTTAGCTATTGATTCAGCTCTGAGCGCAAAAGGGCAAAAAGGGGTAATGGCAATGGCAGCTTTGCATAATAGAGGTGGGGCGTGGGGGGCACTGAGGAGGTCCCAAGAGTAGCCTTGTTCCCTTCCGGCCTGCTTTTACTGAATGATTGAGCCGAAGCCTGCCAGCGCAGGCTGCTGCACCTACTGGGTGGCCCGGCCATCGCTAGGATCGAATTACTAGACAAGCATCTGAATCTCACAAAGGAAGGGACTCAAGCCACAGCAACCGGCCCTGCTTCTCTGCCGAGGCCGACGAGCATGAGATTCTCGCTGCTGCAGCTTCACATCTTCACTGGTCACTAGAACTTAGCCTCCCCTTTCCATCTGCAGTGAGCTTTGTGTTGGACTGTCTGTTGTTGCATGGATATGCAGCTACAGAGGGTGGACACTCCCCGCCGAATATGGTAGAGCGCATTGGAGGATGTAGAGGGATTTGAACAAAGGGAGGGAGGGAGAGCTGTTCACTGCTGCGAGCTTCTGTGTGTGTGTCTGTGTGTTTTGGTTTGATTGTGAGGTTTCCGATCTGAGGTTTGCACAGCGAGCGAGAGGTTCGAACAGGGAGAGGTTGCGCTGATTCAGCTTATCGTGGATTTTGAGGCGGGGAGGAGAAGGAGGTGAAGAGGATGCTAATAATAATGGAGTTGAGTGTGTCGGGGAGCACCTAGCAAAGTGTATGGCGATTACGAGGAGCTTCCATCGAAGACGTTTTACCTGCGTGAGCCGTGGGCAGTTTAGGATTTAGCTAGAGCCTGTGTAAGAACTGCAGGGCTAGCGGCGTCGTATTGCAATGGAGGCTAATGCGGGCCTGGTTGCTGGATCCCACAACCGGAATGAGCTTGTGGTCATCCCCGCTGAGGGAATTCACGGGGTAAGCCTTTAAATTCTATTGGAAAGATATTAATCTTGTGTAATGGCGGTAAACGAGTCGAGATTTTCAGGGCACTCGGTACCTGCAGAAGCGACTTGATGTAGAACTCGGTGAATCTTTTTCTTCTTGGTTTCGGTACAATTAGATAAGCTTTGGGTCATATCATACGACGTTCTCACTTGCACGTTGATTAGTGATTTGTGATTGCGTAACAGAAAGGTAGTAGCGGGAACCTTGGGGGAATTGTTTCCGTCTGCCAAACTGTTTTGGTTCAAAGTTATTCACTAAGTGTTAATGACTCGTGTGCGCTTTCTGCAGCCACGGCCTGAGAATCAAGTGAATGAACTGGTTTGTCAAATCTGCGGTGATGCGGTTGGGGTGAACCAAGACAATGAATTGTTTGTTGCTTGCAACGAGTGTGCCTTTCCAGTTTGTCGCACTTGCTATGAGTACGAGCGCAAGGAAGGCAATGGGGTGTGTCCTCACTGCAAGACCCGTTACAAAAGATTGAAAGGTGAGGTCGCCTCCGCACATTCTGCCCGAGTTCTGATTCTGCGGTGGGAAACAGAAACACATCATAGAGAGCCTTCGCAGAAAGGTAGATTTCTTGTGAGTAAGGATGCCAGTGGAGTGGTTAAATTTAGACTATTTGACCTTGACAATCGATCGAGAGGATTTATTAACTTTTTGACGGGCTCATTGCTGTTGTGGGATAATTAGGAAGTGCTCGTGTGCCGGGAGACGATGAGGAAGACGACTTGGACGACTTGGAAAACGAGTTCGAAATGGACAAGAAAGACCAGCAACCGTCACCGGATGCAATGCTTCACGGGCGGATGAACTACGGCAGGATGTATGAGCACGAGATGGCGACCCATCACATGATGCACCAGCAGCCCCGCTTCCCTCTGATTACCGACGGCCAGGTGGGCGACTCTGAGGACGACGAGAATCACGCTCTCGTAGTTCCGTCGAACAGCAACAAGCGAGTTCAGCCTATCAATTACATGGACTCCAATCTACCTGGTACAGAAAAACCCACACTCTTGTGCTTCTCCATAATTTTGCACCTATTCCAACAATTCCGAGGAGTTTAGATGACTGCAATTAGACCAAAAATGATGGATTGATTAACTGCATTTCTGCGTGGTTATGTTGATGCAGTGCAAGCGAGGCCGATGGACCCAAGTAAGGACTTGGCCGCTTATGGCTATGGCAGCGTGGCGTGGAAGGACAAGGTGGACAGTTGGAAACAACGGCAAGAGAAAATGCAGATGATGATGAGCGAAGGCGGCGTGCTGCATCCCAGCGACGTCGACCCAAATGGACCCGACCTCCCAATGTATGGCAATATATGGCTGAAATTTAGGCTTAAGCAATTTGGTAGTTGCAGACGACAATTGACGCTAACCCTTTGGTTTGTTGCAGAATGGATGAATCAAGGCAACCACTCTCCAGAAAAATTCCCATAGCGTCCAGCAGGATCAATCCATATCGAATGGTGATCGTCATCCGTTTAGTGGTGTTGGCATTCTTCTTGCGCTACCGAATCCTCCACCCAGTGGAAGGCGCGTTTGGCTTGTGGATCACATCCGTGGTGTGCGAGATCTGGTTCGCCGTCTCTTGGATCCTGGATCAGTTTCCCAAATGGCTGCCGATTCAGCGTGAAACTTACCTGGACAGACTTTCTCTCCGTTATGAGAAGCCAGGAGAGCCATCCCAGTTAGTGAATGTGGACGTGTACGTGAGTACGGTAGATCCCTTGAAGGAGCCTCCGATTGTCACAGCCAATACCATCCTATCAATCCTTGCGGTGGATTACCCTGTGGACAAAGTTTCCTGCTACCTGTCTGACGATGGAGCTGCCATGCTCACTTTCGAGGCGCTCTCGGAGACATCAGAATTCGCCCGCAAGTGGGTTCCATTCTGCAAGAAGTTCACGATTGAGCCGAGAGCACCGGAGATGTACTTCGCTCAGAAGATTGACTATCTCAGGGACAAAGTGCAGCCCACGTTCGTGAAGGAGCGCCGCGCCATGAAGCGTGAGTACGAGGAGTTCAAGGTTCGCGTGAACGCTTTGGTGGCGAAAGCTCTCAAGGTGCCGGAGGATGGGTGGACGATGCAAGACGGCACGCCCTGGCCAGGAAACAACAAGAGTGATCACCCAGGAATGATCCAAGTGTTTCTGGGCCACAGCGGAGGTCTCGACACCGACGGCAACGAACTGCCCCGCCTTGTCTATGTCTCCAGGGAGAAGAGGCCGGGATTCAATCACCACAAGAAAGCCGGTGCCATGAATGCCTTGGTGCGCGTCTCCGCTGTGCTCACCAACGCGCCTTACATGCTCAATCTCGATTGTGATCACTACATCAACAACAGCAAGGCCATTCGCGAAGCCATGTGCTTCATGATGGATCCCAACGTGGGTCCCAAAGTGTGCTACGTCCAGTTCCCCCAGCGGTTTGATGGCATTGATCGCAACGATCGATATGCAAATCACAACACCGTCTTCTTCGATGTACTGACACGATTCCCTCTACTGATGAGCTTGATTGCCCGTGAATGGTCGATTTTTGATCAGATTCTCAAAACCTCCGAGAGGCTAATTGGTAGCGGTTTGTCCGCCTTTTGTTTTTTTACAGATTAACATGAAGGGATTGGATGGGATTCAAGGGCCAGTATACGTGGGCACGGGGTGTGTCTTTAGGAGGCAAGCGTTGTATGGATTCGACCCACCGAAGAACAAGAAGAAAGGAAAGGGAGGCTGCCTCGACAGCTTGTGCCCGTCGTTTTGCTGCGGGGGACGAAAGAAGAAGAGCAAGAAGAGCAAGAAGCCGTGGAAGTACTCGAAGAAGAAGGCGCCTTCGGGAGCCGACTCCAGCATTCCCATCTTCAGATTGGAGGATGCCGAGGAAGGCATGGACGGCGGCATGTTGGATCATGACTACGAGAAGTCATCGCCGATTATGTCCACTAAGGATATCGAGAAGCGGTTCGGGCAGTCGCCTGTGTTCATCGCCTCCACAATGTCCGACAGTGAGGGTGTTCGTCACTCTGCGAGCGCGGGCTCCCTCCTCAAGGAAGCCATTCACGTCATCAGCTGCGGCTACGAAGACAAGACCGAATGGGGAAAAGAGGTGCCAGATGTTTGAAGATTTCTACATTGATCTGACTAGTGTCCATTACTTGTGTCCAGACTAGGTGGTGAATGAGATTTTCTATACTCGTTGTATCTAAGATTGGCCTTCAAACCGCAGATTGGGTGGATCTATGGGTCGGTGACGGAGGATATTCTTACGGGATTCAGAATGCATTGTCGGGGATGGCGTTCAATCTACTGCATGCCGCACCGGCCCGCATTCAAGGGCTCAGCGCCCATCAACTTGTCCGATCGGTTGAACCAAGTGCTTCGGTGGGCTCTTGGGTCGGTGGAAATTTCGCTCAGTAGGCATTGCCCGCTGTGGTATGGTTATGGCCGCCTCAAATGCTTGGAAAGATTGGCGTACATCAATACCACAATCTATCCCCTAACTTCCTTACCTCTGGTTGCCTATTGTACTCTTCCCGCGGTGTGTTTGCTTACCGGAAAATTTATCATCCCAACTGTAAGTCGCAAACCACGTCTCCATTTCCTGCGCAGCAGTGTTATGAGGTTGCGTCTCGTTTGGTCGATCAGTTGCCTGACTGCCATGAATCTCGCCATTGATCTGTGCAGATTAGCAATCTCGACAGTTTGTGGTTCATTTCCCTCTTCATGTCCATCTTCATCACGGGTATCTTAGAAATGCGGTGGTCCGGGGTCGGAATAGACGAGTGGTGGAGGAACGAGCAGTTTTGGGTCATTGGAGGTGTCTCGGCGCATTTGTTCGCCCTCTTCCAAGGTTTATTAAAGGTGTTCGCCGGTATCGACACCAACTTCACGGTTACGTCAAAGACTGGAGAGGATGAGGATTTCGGCGAGCTGTATACGTTGAAGTGGACTTCGCTTCTCATCCCTCCCACCACGCTGTTGCTTTTCAACATGGTGGGCGTGGTGGCCGGCATTTCAGATGCCATCAACAACGGTTACTCCGCGTGGGGGCCTCTTTTCGGCAAGCTCTTCTTCGCCTTCTGGGTGATCGTGCACTTGTACCCCTTCCTGAAGGGTTTGATGGGACGCCAGAACCGAACCCCAACCATCGTCATTGTGTGGTCCATTCTGCTGGCTTCCATCTTCTCGCTCCTTTGGGTCAGAATTGATCCGTTCCTACCCAAATCCACTGGCCCCAACTTGGTGCGGTGCGGCCTCACCTGCTTGTAATCAACCATCCCGACAACATTTTCTTCTCCCCAATAATCCCCAGATTGTTTAATTCTGCGTCGCCGGCTTAAAGCAATCATCTTAGACACAGTCTGCACACCATTCAATCTCTGGTACCGTTAAATGGAGCAGATATTGAATGAACAAGCAAATGGTTTGTAGAGAATAAAAGGTTTGCTTCGGTACAACAAACAGAGAGGGAGAGGGAGAGATCGAGCGAGTGAGAGAAAGAGAGAAGTGGGAGGAGCTAGGTTCCATTGTATTAGTAGATGATTCTCACAGAATATGAACGATGCTCATTTCTCAAGGGCAATCGACATACATTTTTCTAGCCTAAGATGGAGTTTAAACTGCGTTTAGAGAGATATATATATATGAGAGATTACCACAGTGATAGTCAGATAAGAATGTGCTCAACTCCGTGTACACACAACTGGTTGATGCAGCGGGCCCAGCTTCACAGGCTCAGCTTGTTAGTGATGGCTCGGAGAAGCCATGGCCAGGTAGAGTCAGCTCCTCGATGAGCATACAATGTGTGAACATGTGAATTCTGAGGCTCCTCGAGATCTAAATATGTGACTGCAAGTTCAACTGATAAATCACCAGTCAAGTCAATGTCATGCATACACCCCACCCAGCTGAGTTGATGAGATCGTGCCGACTTCTGGTGAACGGTGAAAGGGTTTCTAGCTGCTGAAATTAGTTTGATACCATGGAATTTGTATTAGGAAGTAAAGATCTGTCCAATTTTAGCACTATGTTGCAAGTTGTACTTGATATATGTTCAAGCAATGAACTTATAAGAGATTGTTTGTGAAACATGGACAAGTTTAAACTGTTAGAAATTAAATTATAGAGTTGAGGTGGTATGCATAACATGTTCTTAGGATTTGCAATATAAAGAAAATAATAAACTAAAATGAATTAGAAAATAGATTAGAGGTGAATGAGATAAAGAAGTGATGAGAATCTTCAAAAGTATGATAATAGTGTAATTGAGCATATAGTTGGTATTGTGTCTTTGCTTTGTAATAGGTTGAAAAATCATATATATATATATATATATATATAGGCATTGTAGTAATACTTAGACAACATAATATAGGCTTAAGAGATTTTAAGAGTTTAAGTACATCATAAGAATATATAAGGTAGATTTTTAATGTAAAACTTAAATATCAAATTTGTTTTAATTCAATTACTTCAAAATTATATTTTAGTTACTTTAAAATTAGAATTTAGATTTAAAAATATAAAAATTATGTTAGTATACTTATTCTATTTATAAAAAAATTAGATAAACTTAATGGCAATAGAAATAAAATTTTAGTACTTCTTTAATGAAATTGCTAAAATATAGCATAAAAATATAACATGTATAAAAAAAATATATAGATTTTAATCTAAATTTACTTAACATCATGCTACAAAAGCTACTACAAATAAATTGCTACTAAAAGTATATACAAGGAATTTTGTCAATTTACTAATTTAATGAAAGTATATTAAATTATTTTTGATAAAGATGTAAATGCACAAATTGATTGCCACATGTATTGTCACAAGAAAATCTTTCTTAAAACTAACCTGAAAATTATCAAGGATATGAATCTCAAAGAACCAAAGGAACAATATTCTCTTGTGTCACTTAAAAAGAGTAGATAATCATTCAAAGATGGTATAATATTGAATTGTAATGGCTATTGTGAAAGACAAGAAAACTAAAAAGTCTTAAAATAAGACTAAGAATAAGAAAGATGTTAACAAGAGTAAAGAAGGCTTTATTCTTGCCTCTTTATATATATTATCTAATTAGGAGCTACATGACAATATTTTATAGGACTTCTAATATATGTTTAACTTCCAAAACAAGTTTCTTATATGTGCACCACATGGTTATTGTGTATCACAAGCTACTAATATGTGTTATACATGGCTAACTTGTTGGCCAAATTTTTAACCAACTAATCAACTATAAACATATTTAAAGTCAAATCCGTATCTATGAAGCTTTTAAGAAGCTATACCATATAATATTACCAAATCTATATACATTTATCTTTTATCAAATACTTTTTATTTGAATAATAATATATGTCAATGATATTACCTCCCCATTCTAGGAATAAGTTCCACAAGTAGTCATAATCATATGTTGAGAAAGTTCAAGATGCCAAAAATTATGTTTGTCACATACTCTGTTCTTTGTTCTCTTTGAAGGTAGTTAATATGTCCTCTCAACTATCAATAATCTCTCATACTAAGGCAAAAATACCACCTTGATATTTGATCATTGTTAAAGCCTTTATAACCTTCTTTAAATAAAACATTTGGAACACTATCAAGGTTAGTTCCTACTTCGAATAATATCATCAAACATAAGAAGTTTCTTTAAAATTGTGATATTAAACACGTTGTATTTTACTATTTATTCAAGGAAGAATATGCTATTCTTAAAGGTCTTCATCTTTATTATGTCATTTTGAAGGTTATAACAATCACAACATCTCGTCTAATAATTGAGCAAACAATATCTCTTCAAATAAATCTATAAATTGTTAATTCTTTATTTTTATAAGACCACAAATGCAAAGAAATTGCAAACAAAGACAAAAGGTAGAATGTAATCTTCTTTGAACCTTGTTTCTTTTATAGCAAAAATTTGTTATTCTTCATCATCTTTTTGATGGATGTTATTTGTAAAAAGCATCAATCTTTTTTATTATATTTATAAGATTCTTAGTTCACTTCTATGTATATTTTTTAATATCATATTTACACTAATAAATAAGATATTCTAATCTATTTTGGCATTGCCTTGAATCTAAGACTTCTTTGATCTCAAATTCTTAATTATTATCTACTTTTATTAGAAGAGGTAGCATTTTTTTTTTTTTTTTTTTTTTTTTTTAATATATTTGATGTTTTTCATTACTTAAAAAGAGATACATGGAACAAAAAATAAATCTTCACATACTCTGGTAGGTGTAATTAGTAAGTAACTAAATTGATCTATTTATAAATAATAAATGATTGAAATTTACAATAATCCAACTTATCACAAAAGCAAATAGTCTTGATATTATGACAAAGTAATCATACTTTATTGCTAACATGGAATTGATGTTATTTATTATAATAGGCATCTACATTGATTTTTTTGTCATTCTTGAATTTCTTTTAATTATAGCTTCATTGTTGCATGTAGCTTTGATAAATAATTTATTAAATCTTAAGTTGCAAGATTATCAACTTTAAAGAAGTAAAAAATATTCAATTATAGATGGTAATTATAATTAATAAAAAAAAATTGAAAAGATAAGTATATTGTATTATTATAAGCAAAATTTGCCAATGGCAAAAAAATTGTTCAATTATATTGCTGGTAATTGATATTATACCTCAAATACTGCTCAAAAACTAAATTCACCCACTTTGCTTATCCATCAATTTGAAGATGGAAAGCCAAAGATAATTTTATATCTAATTTTAGAATTTTAATAAAAATTCTCTAAAATCTTTACATAAATTGAATCTTCTTATTTAATATAATATCTTTTGATAATCCATATTAATAATAATTATTATCTAAAAAAAAATTAATTATTTTTTTTATCTATTATAGATTTTATAAATGGTAAAAAAATGAGCTATTTTAAAGAAATGATCTTTTATCACAATTATAGATTCATAAGAATCTAAGATTGAAAGATCCATAATAAAATCTATAGAAATAAAAGACCATGGTTGTTATAGAATAAGTAATGGTTGAATTTTTTTGTAAAGTTGATGACAAGGAATTTTTTATTTTGAACATATGTCATATAGTTGTAAAAAGTCTTTAATTACCTTCTAAATTTGAGGCCACAAAAAATCTTTAGATATTAGCTCCAAAGTCTTATTGTATTCAAAATGTCTTACTGCTAGAATGGCATAATAAGCTTGAAGAACAAGTAATCATACTTCACCTTCTCGAATATATAATTGTATCTCAAAATAAAGTAAATTATTCTTGAATTCAAACTTAGATGTATCATAAAACTTAAAACAATTATTTTTATTATCATAAATAAGAAGATTAGAGGATATACTTAAGTGAACTTTCTTGAAAAAAATTGAATCAACGATCAATATTGATTTTATTACTTAAAAATGAAAATGATCTAACTTCAAGAGAATTTTTTTTTATCAATCAAAAGCTACATCTTATTTTTTCGGTATAAGATAAGAATGTCTTAGAAATATATTTAATAAATATTATTATTTTTTTAATTATTAAGTAATTTTAAAATCAAACCTTGATAAAAACATGCTTTAGTAGGCTTATCAAAAATTCAAAATATGTATTGACATGAAATAATTACAATTCTTGTGATTTATATATATAATAATTAGATTAAAAGTCTATTTTAATTAATGATGCCATTTTTTAAATAAATCTATAATTACAAAAATTTCTTTATTATAGATCTCATAATTGATCTTTAATATTAAAAATTTCTTAGAATAAAAAATCATTAGATAGAGTTTTCCATTTATTTCTATTTTTAATAATATTATGCCTAAAACAAAGTTTGATGTATTTATTTCTATAAAAATACATTGAAAAAGTTGATATGATATAAAATTGGTACAAAAATAAAAGATATCTTTAAAGCTTCAAAGAATGCTTCACTTTCTTTTTCCACTTAAGTTTATCTTAATATATTTGAAAAAAATTATTAATAAAGATTTGATGATAATTGGTAAATCTTAAAAAATATAGTACATCTTTTAATGTTTTTGGAATCTTTTAATCCATGGTATTTTGGACCTTCTTAGGATCTATCATAAGGCCATTATTTGTAATGATGTATCCTGAGCAATCAACTTGAATAGTGTGAAAAATACACTTTTTTATCTTAGCATATAGTCGTACAACTCTAAAATTTTGTAACATATAATATTTTGATGCACTTAATTTAAGTAAATCAAATATATTTGGAAGGTAGTTAGTTTTACTTGTATGAGAGAGGAATATAATGCTAATATATTTATAAATTTGAATAAGATTTAAAATATGAGATTTTTACTTTAAATAGATTTTTTAAGCTTTGAAGGTATTGTCTTTTAGGATATATACCTAGCTCTGTAGAAATTCAAGGCGGATATTAGAAGAAGGTTAAGATAAGGTTTTTTGGCATTAAATTGGATTTTTTTTTTAAATAAGAGTGCATAGGTGGAGGGTTGCTAGAATTTTTACTTGATAAGTTTCAAGACTAGTTTAAGTTTTTTCATATTATTTATTGTATTTTCAACTTTTTATGATTATATTTTGAAAAAAATTAGATCTTATCATTATTTTTTCAACAAGATTTAGCACACAAGAAAAAAAGCTATGGCAAGAGAGATCTATGCAAATTTGTGGATGAAGGGTAATTAAAGTTTTTGAATAGTAAGATTGATTTGGATTTTTTTATGCCATTTATTAGATTTTTTTATTTTAAAATTTTAAAAGAAGCTAGATCTTTATATTAGCTTTCTAATAATCTATTGCACATAAGAAAAGAAGCTATGACAAACAAGATCCAAGCTAAATTGTAGATGGGGATTTTGAGAGCTAGAGCTATAGTAAGTATCTAATTTTTTCATTAATATGGCTCTCAATTTCTTTCAAATTTTTTCATCAACATTGATATTTTAAATTTTATAGCTTGAATTAAGCTCAATAAATTAAATTTTATCTAAATTAAATTAATAATAAGTAATTTATAGATATTTTAGAGAGAAGAGGTTTGGATTTGAATGAGAGTTAAGAATTGGGTGCATTTCATATAAGA